ATGAGAAGATACAATCAATACATATAACTGACAAAGGACTCATATCCAGAATTGAACTCCTATAAATCAGTAAGAAAAAACAAACCGAATAGAAAAATAGGTGAGAAACTTAACAGGCACTTCACAAAAGAGGAAATCCAAATGGCCAAGAAACACATGGAAAAGTGCTCAATCTTATTAGTAATCCAGGAAATGAAAACTACCACAAGATTGGCAATAAAATAAAAGCCTGACCAAACCCGGTATAGACTAGGAAGCAGAATATCAGAGCTTACATAAATTTCTAGTGAGTATAAACTGGTACAACCACTTTAGAACACAGATTGCATTATTTAGTATGTGAAGGTTGGACCCAAGCAATTTAGTACTGGGTAACATACCCTAAAAACTGGTATACACTAGGAAATATAATAATGTTTGTAGCAGCAATGCTCAAAATAGTCCAAATAGTGAAAATAATCTAAATGCCTATCAACAATACTTATATATTTATATAACAAAATACTATGCAAAATGAAAATGAACTGCAGCTATAGACAAGAACACAGGTGTATGTTATACAAAATAATGTTGACCAAAAGCAGACACCTGAATACATAGTTTGGATTGCATTAATTAAAAATATAAAAAAAATATTGTTTTGGAATTCACTCTTGGGTGGTATTGTTTGGAATTCACACTTTTTCCTGGCAAAAGCCAGGAAAGTGGTTGCTTCAGAGAGGTTGGGAAGAATGGTTATGCCTGAGAGAACACAGAAAGATTTCTGGATACTGTCAATTTTCTTTCTTTTCTTTATCGTAGTAAAATACACATAACACAAAATGTACCATCTTAACCATTTTAAGAGTACAGTTCAGTGGCATTAAGTACATTCACATTGTTGTGCAACCATCACCACCATCCATCTCCAGAACTTTTTCATCATCCTAGAAGGAACTCTGCACCTGTTAAACAATAGCTCCCCATCCTCCCCCAGTCCCCAGCCCCTGGCACCGTTGTTTCTGTCTCTATGAATTTGACTACTCTAGGTACTTTATACGATGGAATCACATAATGTTTGTCCTTTTGAGACTGTCTTATTTCATTTAGCATACTGTCTTCAAGGTTCATCCATGTTGTAGTATATGTCAGAATTTCCTTCCTTTTACAGCTGAATAATATTCCATTGTATGTACACAACATTTTGTTTATCCATTCATCTGTCGATGGACACTTGGGCTGCTTCTTCTTTTTGGCTATTGTGAATAATGCTGCTATGAACATTGGTGTACAAATATCCATTTGAGTCCTTGCTTTAAACAAGTTTCTATTTCTTAACAAGAGTTTTAAAATTAGTCATAGTGCAAACTGATGCTTAATTCATTTTCTATACGTGCCTTACATTTCACAAAAAGGTTTAAAAAAAATCCTATAGATCTGGGATTCAGTTACCATGGAAAATCTGATTCTGTTTTTGCATTTCTTCCTGTGGTCCTCTCTCTCTGGTCCTATTATTGAAGCAAGCAGTGTTTCCTTATCCAGTTAAAAATAAACTTTTTAGTGAGGTAGAAACTTACAGAAAATTGCACAAGTAATAATCAGCAGCGTGATGAATTATTCATGTAACCAACACCTTGGTTTGAGTGTGTGTGTTGAGGTAGGGTGTGTCTGGAAACAAAATATGCACAGTCACTTTAGGAGGTCAACAAAGTCAAACTGAAAAACGAAGAACAATGTAAGTGGGCTATTTAGATATCATTGTTAGTGCCCTCGAGTTGATTCTGACTCCTAGTGACCCTGTGTACAGCAGAGCAGGACCCTGCCTGGTCTTTTTGCGCCATCCTCTCACCTTCCGGCGCTATATCAGACAATGCTCTGCTGCTATTCATAGGGTTTTCATGGCCAGTTTTTTTGGCAGTGGGTGGCAAGGTCCTTCTTCCTAGTCTGTCTTAGTCTGGAAGCTCCGCTGAAACTGGTCCATCATGGGTGACCCAATATCGGTGGCACAGCTTTTAGCATCACAGCAACATGCAGCCACCACAATACAACAACCCACAAATGGGTGGTGTGGTACTCTGAGGGGGAAAGGAACCTGGGCCGTGGCAGTGAGTGCCGAATCTTAAACTCTAGACCACCAGGGCTGGCTGCTTTAGATGTAAGGAGGAAAATAACATATTATAAAAATGTCAACACTTAAAGTGATTGCCTCTCAGGAGTGAGAACTGGGAATGAAATACAGGTGGACAGGGTTTTACTCTTTTCATGATTTACGTATTTGACTTTAAAAAAAATACATATTACGTATTACAATTTGAAAAATAATTATTTACAATAAATTAATCGACATCTATAATCTATCCTCCTCCACTCCAAACAAGGCCTTTGTCATCATTTCAAGTGTTCATCCAGGTTTCTCTTTGTTTTGCTTAAATTACCTTGAGTTTTAGCATCATCTTAATGATGTTGTTTTAAATTATGTCTCTACTGCTTAGGATTTATTTATAAATTGTGTTAACCTTTTCAGCCACATTTTATTTCCTAACTATACATTAGACTGGTGTCTTTACCCACAACAGTATCTAGAATCCCATATTACAATTCTGACACAAATTACAATATGTGTTTTTTCTAACACCCTGCCAAGCAATTCTCCACACCTGCTGGGTGTCCTACAATTCAACCCAATTCTTTTTTTTTCCCCCCAAAGCCCCAGCATACAGTTGTGTATCATGGTTGTAGACTTGTAGCTCTTCTATATGGGACACTGCCTCAGCTTGGTTTGATGAGTGTTGAGTAGGTCCACGCCCAGGATCTGAACCAGCGAACCCCGGGCTGCCGAGGCAGAACACGTGAACTTAACTGCCACGCCACCTGGCCGGCCCCTCAACTGAATTCTGACACTATCTACCTGGAATAGTGTCAGATCTCACAGGTTAAGGGCTCAGTCCTACAAGACTGTCCTCCCTCCCACCCCACTTCAGACCTCAATCTCAAGTCCAGGTTGTCATCTGTGCTTCTCACAGACTGGCTATAGATCGGAGGTTCCAATGACCCCCTCCTTGTGTTCGATTAACTTGCTAAAGCAGCTCACAGAACTCAGAGAAATATTTTACTTACCAGATTACTGGTTATATAAAAGGATATAAATCAGGAACAGCCAGATGAAAGAGATGCACAGGGCAAGGTATGGGAGAAGAGGCACAGAGCTTTCATGCCCTCTTCCATGCCACTCTCCCCAAATCCCATCCTCTTGGGTTTTTATGGAGGCTTCCTTACACAGGAATGGTTGATCAAATCATCGGCCATTGACGATTAATTCCACCTCTAGCCCCTCTCCCCTCCCTGGAGGTCAGGGGGGTGGGACTGAAAGTTCCAACCCTCTAATCACATGGTTGGTTCCCTTGGAAACCAGCCCCCATCCATAGGCGCTTTCCAAAAGTCACCTCATTTACAAACTCAGGTTTGGTTGAAAGGGGTTTGTTATAAATATCAAGACACCTTTATCACTGCCATCACTTAGAAAATTCCGAGGGTTTTAGGAGCTCTGTGCCAGAAACTGGGACAAAGACGAAATATATATTTCTTAATAAATCACAATATCACACGTCTTCCTGTTACCTGGATACTTTGTTATTCCTTCTTTTTGGTGGAATAGATCTTCAAGTAATTCTTTCAGAAATGGTTTGTGAGTGGTAACTTTGAGTTCTTTTAATTCTTTGCTTGTGCAAAAATTCAAGTCAAATGCTAACTCCTACGTGAAATTCTTAAGTAAAATCATTTCAAAGATGTGAAATCATTTCAGCAGAAAGTCCTTGATACACAGTTACTTGACACGTATTTACTACAGTGTATTTTATCTTCTATAGTATAACACATTGAGTTAGAGATAACCTGATTTTTCACCTACATGGCTATGAAATGGCCTGGCAACCAAGGATCCCACGAGGTTAGTGTCCAACACAGTTGGTATTCAAAGTTTATTCTTTTCTTAAATAAAAAAGGGATAGGGAAGCACAGGAAGATAAATGCTCTTTATGTCAGCAGCAGGGGAGTTAAGACAATGTGAAATTCCTGCTAGGTCTACGAAGGGAGGAGGCTCTTTGCTTTTGTTATAGAAGGTGATTTGTTGAGAAAAGAGAAAATAAGATTCCAAATAGAAAAATGGCAGCATATGCCAAGATATAGATGTGTGAAGATGATCAGTTGGAGGACATGGGTGATAGTGGCAGGATATGAGGGGCTCACAATGCCGAGATGAGCCCAATTAAGGAGTTTCTGTGATGTCTTGTAGAATATGAGGAAGCATTAAGATTTACCCTCTCTGGGGTACCTACGTCCTCATATGTAAAATAAAAAATTGGTTATGATCAGCGACTTTTTAAATATTTTATGAAAAAGCAATGGATTCCTTTCCTTCCTCTGCTCCATGCTTGCACACCAATTTTTAAGTAGAACTCCAACTTCCTTAAAATTAAAAGTAGAGCTGTTCTAGTTATAACTAGGATGAGGAACCTGGATCCCAGGCTACTTATTCTGTATCTCTTCCCCTTCTTTCTTCCTCTACAATTTGGTCACTGAAGAACTCTTAGGCCGTGCAGAAAACAAGCAGAAAAATTACAAGACAAGTGGTTTCCAACTACCGGGTATCTGAAAAAGCATCATGGAAATCGTGCCTTTAGCAAAATGGTCAACAGTTTTTCATGTTTTGAATGCAGCATCAATTCAGATATGGTTAACACTAATTACCTATGATGATTGTAACATTGAATCTATGGTATGTATGTGGGGGCTAAGGGTGAGGACAGGGAGGAGAACTGATACAAAGGGTCTTTGGGGCTATAGTACTGAGAACTCTGGCCAAGATGATCTCCAAGATTCCATCCCAACCCTTACACTAAAATGGAGAGTGGCTTGGGCTTCATAATTATTCACGTCACTAAGCTCTCCAAAAAAGATTTTACTGGTGCTGATGGATATTTTGATAGACCTGAGCTGAAGAATAAGATTCCACAACTATGCCAATAACTTAATAGTTTATTAGTCAGTCAACAATATTACAAATATTTAAAAATTACTTAATATAAATAGTTGGCAGCAAACTATTCCATTACAGAGTTAAATTACCAGTACAACAGACAGACTGGAGATTTAGACACCTGGAAGATAACAATAAAATAAACTAAAATATTTTAACGAAAAAATTTAAGCTGAAGGCGTTTACCTAGTGTCCATAAAAGCATGGGTTCTCTTTTTATTTAGAAAAAAATAAAAAACAGCTTTAACACCCCATTAGGAATATAAAATAAAATCAACTGAAAATATTAATTTGCATATCAAAGAACCATTTATAATTACAATCCAAACACTCCATAAACCACTTGTGCGATTCTATACAGAAACTGGGAATTAGAAACTAGTTGCTTTAATATTACAAAGATTTCAGCTCCAAAAATAATTCAACATAAAATAAACTTTAGCAATTAGTGTCATAAAATTATATATTTCCACATAAAAATACAAAATAATATTAATGACAAGAATATGAAAAATTATTCCAAGTATTTTACTACTATTAAAATAAAATAAAACCCAAAAAAACAAAATAGAAATATGCATGAAAAAAGTCTCTCCTTTTGTTAGCAAAACACTATCCAAAATAACTACAATCATTTACATCAGTACAAAGATTTCTGGATTTAAAAAATAGTTGCAATGACAAAAGGGGTATCTTTTCTGACAGTAAAAAATGACACTGTGGATAAAATCTGCAAAATATGCAATGAAAAAAATAAATTTGCATTAAAAAGGTTTACACTGTTATTTTTTTTTATACAAACATTAGAAACAGTATTGCACATCACAACACAGAATCGAGGTTAGTCAGCCTTCCAAAATGTGTTATATTCAAGTTTTGTAGCATCTTTGAGGAGAGGCTCTGTGCAGCCAGATGCAACAGGGATAAAATATCAAGTGTTTTCCATACACAAATATATAAATGCTAAATGTTTCCTTCTTAACAAAAAGTGTGGATTTTTAAAGTATTTTTTTTTCCTCCACAGTCATACTTTTGGGCAGCAATATGAACATTTAGGGAACACAAGTGAAGAAGCTTTGAAAATACAAAAATACAATCAAAATTAATAATTTTCTACAAAAATAGTAAAATAAATATGATCTGTAAATTAAAAAAACTCCAATACAGTGTTCAACAGTTAGAAAATAAGAATGTAGTACATAAAAGGCAAAAAAAAAAAAAAAAAGAGGTAGGGGTGAGGAGGGGAAGGAATAAAATATTAGACTAACAAGCTTTAATTGTAGCAGAAATGAAGGTAAAACAAACCATACATTTCTGTCATTTTTACCCGTGGCAAAAAGGGTGTTCTATTACATTTCCCTTCATTCCCAATATTTATTTCTGTTTATGAAGGGAAAAGTGATTTCCAACATCTCCAATTATTTTCATTATATAATTTATTTTAGTGTTCATTATTTAATACATGAAAAGGCTCTTCAATTTTAAACATTAAGCAAAAATTATGAAAATAAAGTTAAAAAATCTGCGAAATTAAATATCTAAATAATTAACATTGCAAAACTACTGATTTCTTTTCTAAATTCCAAAAATTGAGGTATAGCAAAGGAGATGTCATCAGTCAAAAAAAGTGTGCCATAAAATAGCTGACTGTTGGAAAAATCTCTCATAGAGATATAAAAATAGTGCATAACAAATGTCAAATGGATCAAGGTTGGCAGGGTTAAGGTTAGAAAAGAATACTCCAAAAATCTGGAGGATCATGGTTAAGTAACAAATAGGGAACATCGACAAATAAATTAGTAAAAAGCTCTTCTGAAAACAGCATCAACTTTAAACATTAAAAACTTGAACCACAACCACAATAAAACAGCAGAGTTAGACATGAACCACATATTTTTACAGTACAAAAAAGCACACCATAGACAACCAATATTAAGATCAACACTTTGCTCATGTGAAGGATTGTCCCAAGGGGTTGCTATAAGGCAACACCCTTGTAATTTTCTCTCTTTAGAGTCAAGAATCTTAGTTCTGCATTTTTTAAAAACGTCTACCATTGTTGGGTGCTTTGCTTAGATTGCAGAGTAACTCTTACATTAAAATATAGGGGCTAGTTGCATTACAAATGCTCTAAAGAGAAAAAATATCACTAATGATATTCTAATAGTGTTCAGTACCAAGAGAAACTCATTAACTATTGCATGTTTCCATGCCACTTTCTCAAAAAAACTGCAAGCAAAGTCATTACCAAAATTCCTTCATCAAAATTTAAAAAAAAAAGCAATTCTTAACCATTAAGAACAACAATGTTCCATGCAACAGTGACCCCAGTTTAGACAAAAGACTTCAATATACATAGGTCAAACAGGTAAGCAAGTTTAAGCCAGATTTCACCATTGTCTTTAAGGTAAAATTGAATTTTATGCAACTAGCCATCTGTATATTTCCCCATCTCCATTTTGACTTTACTTAGGTTTACTAAAGTTTTGCATTCTTCTATAAAGTTCATTTGTTTAAATATGGGCTTCTTGTGGGTCTTACATTTGGTGACTGGTTAGCAGTGTGCTGGCCATCTTTGGTTTATAAACGATGTCTTACCATGAACTATCTATCAAAGGGGCTAAAATCAACGTTCTTTAAGATTCTAGTATTTTCCTTTTATTCAATCTTTTATCTATACTATATCACTGCACATGAATTAGAACCGCACATCACAAAATTGCACAGGGATTACAAATATTACATCCAGTCTGCATAAAATCGAATTCCACTACCGACCAGATCACAAAATGGCTGCACTCTCTAATCTAAAACTAATTTGCATATTGTACACACGTAGGACAATTTTTTTTAACTTGAAGTCACAATAATGCATGCAAGTTTGCTTTTTTTTAAACAAATTTTATAATTTGTTCATGCTACCTAGATTCAAGAGAGCTTTTTTGAACATTTGCAATACCTCACCTCTTGTTAGTTAATAATTCTAGTGCATGCATATGGTGTATACAGGTAAGTAAACATGCATTTTTTTTTTTCACATTCTAAAACTATGGCAGTTTAGGCCATATTGTGCTGCCTGCATTTTATCTGCAATGCAGTGTGTCTCTAACGTTTTCAATCCCGTATTAATAGGTGGCATTTACACATAACACCTATATAGCAGCAAAGCTAATACAGCTCGTGATTAAAAATGTTTAAAAATAGCTAATAAATCAGATTATCTTGAGGTATTATTTCTTGCAAGTCAAAATGGAGAGCAAAAAAATCAACCCTAATTTTTAGTTTATGTATACACTGAAAATAGCAACAATAAAAATAAGCATTTGTAGCAGACATATTCCATCTTCACTATTATTTTGCTACCTTTGGTAAATTACTGGGGCAGATCTTAAAGTTAAAAACCCACGTTTAGAAATAAGTGCACGCTTCACCCACTATATAGCAGCAGACTTTTTGCCCCTACTCAAAACATTCTCATATCTAATTTTAACTTTACATATAAAAATAACTTGGAGAAAATACAAAAAAACATTTTATTTTAACATGAAAATATCACAAAAATTAGTAAGCCTGAGATGTAGGGTTTTGGTGAAAAACAAGAGGCTTGTAGTGTTTTGGCTGCTGATAAAGATGCATGTATTGATAGCTGGGGTGAAAGCAGAAGAATGCACTTATTTCTTCTGCATGTCAGTATCTTCAGACACAGTAAGCCACATGCACCCTTTCCTTCCTTGTTAAACAGAGGCCGGTTCGCTATTTTTAGTTCCAGCGGAAGTGGATCTGACGTGGGCGATCAGCACCTTCCTTTACCAATGGCTTATGGAACTCACGTCCTGCACGAGAGTGGATATTTGCCCAACAAAACTCACAGTAATACTGCAGGCAAGTGACATTGGCACAAAAAAAGGGAGCAAATTTTCCACCACAGCGTGCGCCCTGGCATTCATCACACATCTGGTCATCTAGCACATATGGCTTTACCTCCACCTAGAAAAAGAGAGAAAAACGTCTCATTAAGTCTACTTCAGAAATCATTTAAGTAATAATTTAAAATGTTCAGAAGGTGTTCTAGAGAAAAGGACCAGCATTAAATGTTGACAAAGTAGGCAGGTTCCCACGGAAATGGCTTTTACCATATAGCAGGTTAAAAAAAAAGAAATCGTTTTTTTCTTGCACTAATTATCTTTTTTTTTTTTTTTTGTGAGGAAGATTAGCCCTGAGCTAACATCCATGCCAATCCTCCTCTTTTTGCTGAGGAAGACCAGCCCTAGGCTAACATCCGTGCCCATCTCCCTCTACCTTATATGGGACGCCGCCACAGCATGGCTTGACAAGCGGTGCGTCGGTGTGCCCCTGGGATCCGGGGATCCGAACCTTCGAACCCCGGGCCGCCAGCAGCGGAGCACATGAACTTAACAGCTACGCCACCGGGCCAGCCCCCTAATTATCTTTTTATATGATGTTTCATGTTCATAACTGACTACGTGACTAAATGACTAATTAGCACTTTGGTAATTTTATTTTGATATGTTTTCTTCAGAGGAGTATAAACTGAGTGGTATTTACTATATTTTCCAAAGACAGAAAATACTTTTAAAAATTACACAAATCTAGTTGATTTACAAAACATTCTACCCTCACCTTTCATGAGGTAACATCTTTAAAACACCTGTGTGTTAATATTTTCAGAGGTGGAGGTGATTGTGAGTGAAAAAGACAAGGGCATGGAAAACAAATGGTTTTTATACCTTTTTTTCCTCATTCCAATACCACCTGTGAGATGGCGTAACCCTAACAGGCATTGATTATGGGAGCACTTCTCTACTGCAGGTGAGAGCCTATCCTGCTGGTAAATAATCAGCGCAGACAAACCAGAACTGTGGACAATCTTATTAAGAGTATGTCAACACTTCTGTGAATTTATAAGACATAAAGTCAAAGTCCCACTGTGAAGTCCTGACTCAGTAGAAGACCTCAGACTCAAGTCAGCTCTGAACACTAAACCTCTTAACCTCAGTTTCCACATCTGTAAAATGAGAAGAATATTAGAACCTGCTTCACAGAGTCATGAGGATTAGATTATGCAAGTAAAAGCATTTAAGACAGTGCTTGGCACATGGTAAATACTCTGTAAATTAGTTTACCTACTGTTAGCTGCGATAGCCTTGCCTTCTCACTTGTAATAACTTTATGAACAAAAGGTGACTACCTTTGTCTGACTGAATAGTGCCAGGCAGCCTAAGATCTCAGCCTTTCCTGAGGAGAGGAGAGAAATTGAGCGTTTAAAGGGCTTGGTCTGACATAAACTAGCATTTGCCCAAGGTACAAAATAATGACCCAACAATTTCTATTCTGAATGTATTCTATTGAAATATTTCATGTGTGCAGAAAATGAACATACAAGGATATTTTCTGTGGCATCAACAAACTGGAAACAACCTACAAGTTGATGAAAAGAACTGTAAAGCAAACATTTGCCAGGAAGGTAATGGAATTTCATCATTTATATTTATATTTCATTGATTAGAGTTAGGATAAACATACTTTACACATATTGAACATTTTGCTTTTATCAATTATCTGTATCTTTTGTATATTTTTCTGTTTTCTTTTTTAAATTAATTTATAAGTTCTCTTTGACCATTAAGCATTTTTAACCTTTTTTCTATTGGCCATTGATTTTTAAAATGATCTTTGACACAAATTCTAAAATTTTTATGCTCAATCTTTCTTTTTCAATTTTTCCCTTTATGGATTCCATCTTGATTGCCAGGCTGCTATTTTTGATTCATTATTTTCATTATAACTATAATCAAGGAAGATCATTACTATGACTAAAGAAGGTATCGAAGTAGCATGAGAATGACTAGATTTCATTTCACTAGATGATAAAGTGCGAACACCTAGTACCCAGTACCCAGCAGAATCTCTGCACAAAGTAGAAACTCTATAAAAATCTGAATAAATGTGGTACATTTACATATGCTTTCCAGATTTCTTTCTCATGGTTATTTTTTGCCTTTACTATAAGATTTTCAGCAAACTGAAGACAGCGTCTATGCTGTTTACTTCATTTCCATAATACTTCATAAAATGCCAGGTGTTCAGGAGTTACTTAATGTAAAACTGCTGAATAAAATTTTACAAATGCAATGATTTCAATTATTTGTATTTTTAAATTCTAGATATTATTTTAGGAAGCTAATCTACTTAATTCAAAAGCATAGACTTCAAAGATGGAAACTAGATTTCAAACTTATGATTTTAGAATATAATCAAAACCTATTTGATTAATAATAATCTCTAACAATTAATTCTTGTATGTGTGAAAGGGAGTTTCATCAATTCTTCACCTATTCTTATTTTCTATTAGGATGTCTTTCCCTTTTCCACTTCAGAGAAACTATCTGTAATACTTTGTCACCTGGTTCATAACTAATGAAATAATTAATTGTCCAATTTGAAATATAACACAATTCACTTCAGTAACTACCAGAAGTTACAATGAATTATATTACTCATGGACTAACATACAAAAATTATAACGAATTACACATTTTTGGTGATTGTGCTTCCCAGCTATCAGGGATATAGGAACTAAACTTCAAAGTGTTCATGAACCATGCCTGTAAGTCGAATAACAATTTATTTTTTTGCATGTGTGAGGAAGACTAGCTCTTGCCCACCTTCCTCTACTTTACATGGGATGCCGCCACAGCATGGCCTGACAAGCGGTGCGTCGGTCTGTGCCCCGGATCCAAACCTGCGAACCCCGGGCTGCCAAAGCAGAACGCGCTAACTTAACCACTGAGCCACCAGGCCGGCCCCCTCGAATAATCAATTTTAATCCTCCCCAAATAAGCATCTTGTGTATCTTTGGGTTATCAGGTATAAAATTAAATCTGTTTTTATGGTTTAACAACTATATTCATATTAGAGACATGAAAAGTATAAAGGTTAATGGTTTAATATTTTTTATATAAGCAACACTAGCAACTTGTAAAATATTTAGGGCTCAAATTATTTCAAGTAAAGTTCAAAATATACCTTAGTAGCACATATCTTAAAAAATAAACTTTTCTCTCAGATATTTCAATGACTTTTTAAAAAGGCATGTGTTTCTCAATTCACTTGCTCTGCATCTGAGTTGCTCTTTAAGAATCAATACTCTACCCCAAATAATTGGCCCTTCACTATCATTTTGGAAACAAAGAGGTATGAGTATGACACTGCAACCATTTTTTCCCTCTGCTTCTGCATATTAAACAACTACAATTATATGCAATGTAGATAACTTCCTCTGTGGCTGTAATGCCTCTCTGCAAAAGTAGAAGTTATTTAGACTAGATCAGTGGTCTAAAGCCTGGCTGCACAGTAGAATTGCCCGGGATGGGAGGTGGGCAGGGGGCGAGGGTCTCCTGCTGCCTCAGCTGTATCTCAGACAAATTACAGCAGAATCTCTGGGGTGGGACCCAGATGTTAAGATTTTTCTAAGTTCCCAGGTGACTTTAATGTGCAGCTGAGGTTGAAAACCACTGGATTAGAGGAATTCTAAGGTTCAAACCAGTTCAAAAATTTTCGTACGCATGTCTAAATAAAAGCAGAGCTCTTCCTTTTAGGTACTTTTTTGTTTTTTGCAACATTTTAAGTAACAATGCAAACAAAAAAGTCACTTGCATGTATGAACTGAACCTATGCTGTACTTTTATCTAAATGGGATGGTTTGCTAATTAAATGGACGACTACTTTTAGAATCCATAGTCTAGTCAATTGGTATTAGTTATCCAGCTCTCTTGCCCTCAAAATAGTCTTTTAATGTACAAAGAGCCTCAGAGAAGTTATATCTATTAATTTGGACATAAAAAAGTCAATTTACCTCATATTCTCAGTATATCTCATCTGTACTATAAATGTAAACGTGATTATTTTAGAATATTGCTTAGCTATATATAGGAACTATTCACAGATTTTAGTATGAAATAGATTTGTAAATGAACAATTGAGTTCCATTCACTCCTTTTCCCTGTTTTAGATGGTAATCAGTACTAGGAACTATTCAACGTGATGGCTTTCAGTTAACATTCATAGGACTTCCTAAAAGTTCTTACTGTGATGACCTAAACAATGCTACCAAAGAGTAAATGTTTTAAAGCTTAGGACAATTACTTTTTATAATTATTTTTATATTTAGTTTATTTGTAGATTTTATTTGTTTTTATATTTATTATTGTGTATATTTAGGGAAAGGAATATAACGTATTTTTATTTTAGACTTTATGATAAAGAAGAATAAATAACACTTAAAATAGCACCTAGTGCCAAGCTGTGTTCTAAGTGCTTCTCTATATGTGAATTCATTTAATCCTCAAAATAACTGTGAGAGAGAGACTATTATTGTTTTCCATTTTATAAGTGAGGAAAAAGAGGCATAAAGAGGATTGACTGGCTGAGGATTATAGAGCAAACGGTGGAAACAGGATCCCAAGCAGTTCGGCTCCAGGGTACTAGCTCTTAAAACAAGCTCTGCCTCCATGGTTAGAAAGATATTAAGACCTTATTGGCCAATGAAAAAATCTGACATGCTTTTAAAATGACACTTATATTTTGTATATCGTACCTAAAGTTTAAAGTACATTCAAGAATTTTACATTTCAGGAATATTTTGATATAATATTCTTTAACTCAAAGAGTTAACGGAGTATAAAAATATACACAATATTTGAGTTACATTAACTCCGTAGGGTAGTAAGCTTTGGATTGGCACCTTATTATAGGACATTAAGTGATATCTCAATATGCAACTTACACGTTTATCAATATCACCATGCTGAAGCTGAACAAACCGAGCACTGATGGCAGCAATATAGCTCTGTTGATTGGAGAAAGCAACTCGACCAGCACCTTTTGGGTATTTTAGCTCAGGATCTGTATCAATTCCTGCATAACAAACTCCACCATACAGCCGGTCCATGATCATAGCAAGTTCCACTTCAAAAGGAAAAGAAGTTCACATCAAATGTGAGAGAACACAGTAAATCAGCAACTTTTAAGTGTTTTTTAAAAAGTAAAGTCAACAGGATAAATAGTTCCATGCTCTTTTCTAAATCCAATCCTTCCACCTGTATACTAGATCCTATCTGCTCTCACTACAGAAGAATTACTTTGGCAGTTCTCCTCTCTCCTTTCTGTACCATTGGTTTCTCCCTCTACACTGGATCATTCTCAAGCATACTATAATTTGTACCATCTTAAAAAAAACAAAAAAAATCTCTTAACCCTATTTCTCCCTCTCAGTGACTGCTTCATTTCTGTTCCCCTTTACAGCCAAATTGCTAAAAATTTTTTCCTGTACTCCCCAATCCCTCTCTTCCCATTCTTTGTTCAACCCTTTATAACCAGACTTTCACCCCATGACTCCACTTTAACTGCTCATGTCAAGGTCACCTTCCCCACTGCCAAGGAGAACAGTCAATCTACCTATAAGTAACACTGAACATAGTTAACCTCTTTCCTCTCCTTGAAATATTTTCTCCATCTGGCTTCATTACTCTACTAATTTTCCTCCTACCTCACTGTAATTTCTTTTTAGTCTTCCTTGCTAATTCCTCCTCAACTCCTCAACGTTAGAGTACCCTAAGTTTTGGTCCTCGGATTTCTCTCCACACTCATGGCTTTGGTGACTTCATCCCAGGTCATGGCTTTAAATACCATTTATCTGTCTTCAGCTGTCAAATTCCAATCTCCAGTCTGGGCCTCTCCCCTGGACTCCAGAAGTATTTATGCAACTGTCTACTGGACAACTCATTGATATTTAACATATACTACATCACTCAGTGTGTTCAAAATGGCATTCCTGATCCTCTGCCATCCCATTAAACCTGCTCCAGTGAGTTTTTGCTGACTCAGTAAGCAATGGAAAAGATGAAGTTGCCAAGTCAAATCTTTGGCTTTATCCTTTCCACTTTTCTTTTTCCCCCCACTGCACATGCAATCCTGTGAACTTGATTTTTAAGACACATCTAGAATCCAGTATGCTCACTTCCATCACTAACATCCTGTTCCAAGCTATCATTTTTCATCTGGATCATGGCAATAGCCTTATCTCTTTGCTTCTGATCCCTCTCCCATCCCCCAGTTTATTTTCAAAGTGTGATTCTCTTAAACAAATATATCAGATACCAATGGCTCAACTGAAATTTCTACTTGGGGGCTCTGGTGCCACAAACTTGCTTTCAGAACCAAGACCACAATCTTCCTTCCAACCTGCTCCTTCTCCAGTGTTCCTTATCTCAGTAAAAGGCACCACTATCTACCTCACGGCTTAAGATTGAAAGCTGAGTTTCAGCCTTTGTATTTACCTCATAAATATCTGTGACATCTATTCATTTGGCTCTTTCACCACTACCACCACTAATCCAGGCCACCATTATCTGTCTCCTGGACTGCAATAATAGGCTCCTAGATTGGTCTACTCATATCTACTCTCAACCTGGCTCCCCCCTCCATGAGTCATTAGCTAAACTGATCTTTCAAAAATGCAAATATGATCAGGTCTCTCCTTTGCTTAAAAACTCTTCATTGGTTTCCTCTTGCTCTGAGGATAAATATCAAATTAGTTTATTAGACTTGTATGATCTGACTCCTATTTACTTTTTCAATGTCTTCTTTGTCTTTCCCCTCACTCTTTATACCCCTAGTCAGCCACTCTGGCCTTCTTTCAGTCCCTCCAATGCACTCTACTTCCCTCCACTGAAGATCTTTGATATGTTGTTCCCTTTGTCTGAAACACACTCCTCACAACCCCCCTGCCATCCCAACCCTACTCCTTCTGTTCAATCTTTATATGTCAGCTTAAATACAAGTATCTTTAAAATATCAGATGACATCACATTCTCTTGCTATGTGCTCTTCTATTCTCTATAGTCTTTTTTGTAGCAGTTATGTTCTGTTAAGTATTTACTTGTGTGAATGGTTCTTTAACATACATCTCCCATACTGGAAGAGGATGTTCTCAGTGATGGAAGGCACTAACACACTTCACAGGGTACATAGTATCATAAAACTTGCTTGTACAGTGGGCATTTATGTCTAAAATTATGTTCCTATATGACATCTTTAAGTAGATCTCTGGTTCCTGGTTATTGATGAATAGAAATTTATTATTCACTTATCTAAGTGCTATTTAAAAAACAAATCCATATTTCTTCTTCAGATATCAGAATCAACCCACATAAAATAAACAGACTCAAAATTCTCATATCTTAGAGATTACAACTTAAGAAGTGAGAAATATTTGAGTAGATTCTTCTTATAGAGTCTGCTTGGAGTTAGCTGTTAATACTGATAGATAAGTGCCCAATTCTCCAGGTACTTGATGGTTTCAAGAACAGTTCTCAGAATTTGTCTCAGAATTCTGTAATGAGCAACTATTGGAGCATGAGGAATCTGCCCCTTGCCCGCCCAATAGTGCCATACACACAATAGCTATCAAATGTTTACTGAATTAATTCATATTTAAATTATTATTTTTTTTAAACAAAATTTGTTAACATTCTACTTACCAGCCCTTAATGGCCTAGGAACACCTCCAACAAAAATTGTTTTTCGAGGATCTAGAGGCTGAGAACCATCCATCACAAAATCACTATCACTTAAATTCCAAGGACGGATCTGAACCTAGGAAGAAAATGACATCACTATATTGGGTCTTATTCTCTTGACAGTTTATGCTGTTTTGTGCCAGTTAAATGGTGGTCCTGTTATTGTTCAAAATTTGGGATAGCTGGATTTGGAAACAAATGGTTATAATTTTTTATCTAGGTACTATAAATTACTTGAATTTTTAAAAACTGAACTCTTAACATGGTAGTTTAAAATTCTTTTGCACTAATAAGCATTTCAAAACAGTTTTTTACTAAAGCTCAAGTAGTATTTACTTACTGGTTTGTCCTTGATAGTAGGGCTGGAAACACACAGATATAGTTTTCCATCTTCTTCAATACAAGCATCAATTAGTGCCTGAACTGAGCTCTCCTCTTGAAAGAGAAGGAATGCATAGCCTGTAATAACCATTAAAAATGAGGTAATATGTCCAGGTAAGTGATTTCACTCCAAATTTAAGTACAGTTTAGAAAATACATGCTTTTGAAAAAGAAAAAAATACTATCAAATAGAATTAGAACCATTAAACTTTCTTTAGGAGAACACAATATCCTATGGAATACACACAAAAACAGATCCCCAGTAAATCAATTAGCTACTTTATATAGAGCACTTACTATCTGGTACTGTGCTAAGAGCTTTACATGAATCATTTCATTTGATCTCACAAAAAGTCTGTGAAACATTGTTCCCCATTTATCAAAATAAAAACTGAGGTGTCAGGTGGTTAAATTACTTGCTCAAAGTCAGTCACATAAGCAGGCAGTTGGTTGAGTAATTTCAAATCCAGGTCAGCCCCAAGGTCTTTCATGACACTGTCTTAAAGATTTGGCAGGATTAACCAGTTGAGCGTATCAGGAGCTGAGATTCCTACGAATGCCCTCAGGGTAAGACAAGCTCTAGAGCGTACTTCTGGACAGGAGCACACTTGGAAAGGGCCAGGAATGTTCATAAGTAGAGGGAAAATTCCCCAGTCAACCTGACAACTTCCAAATGATACTAAGAAAACTACTCTAGGGAGGTTGGAATGAAATGTGTTCCTTCAGAATGGGTCAGAACTTTTAAATCCAGTCTCAACTTGGATGAGCAGCAGAACACTTTTTTCAAACAGTCTAGAGATTATGTATGGACTTTGGATCCAAGCTCTTGCTTAGATTTCTGTACCTGTGGGAAATATGCCCTTCTTCCTTTCATTGTGACAACTAATTGTCAATCTTTAATCAAAAATCATGTACCCAGCAGGCAGAATGACTTCATTATAAAAAGATGACATCAAAATTTACATTTCAAGTTTAATATTTTGTGACTATACCCAGCAGCTGATAACTATAAATGACCTCAAAGTACCTCTTTTCCTTGACAAGATTTCTATGGAAACAAACTAGAACACTGTAATCTAGTGCCAATATGAAGTCATCAAGCAGGCCATGCAGGTCTGCTCCATTATGCAATGGGAAGTGTGAAGTCATGTTTTACGTAAACCTCGAAAAACACAGTTTATTGCCAACAATGGCTTTTATTGCCACAAAAGTCTGATGTGATACAAAAGTACTTCATTTTAATAAAATTATCAGATTGCATAAATAAGCCATCAAACAAACTTACACAAATAGAAACTTCTGAAGGTATGATCATTCAAGATTAAAAAAACACATCTTAGACCTTTTTAATTGCTAGAAACAATTTAAATGTGCTTGAAAAATAAATGAAGACTGGTTTTCTTTAAGTGAAGCCTTTAATTTTGATACAAGGTAAGGATTTGAAAGCTATAACTGCTTTGTAATAATTGAGGGGATATAAGACCAATTTTCTAAAATAGTATTTTGAATTCAATATTTTTAATGTCGTTAAAGTTGTGGCATTAATTTTTGATATTAATATTTTAATGTTGCTTAATTAACTTTAAATTCAACATTTTTAATTGCTTAATTATTTCTGTGATTATTAGGGAAGAAATGTTTATATCACAAAAATTAATTAGGCAACATGGCAGGTAAATTATGATCTAGCTAAGGTAAGCCATGAATTATTAAAATACTGTGACCAAAAACATCATCTAATAGTTCCTTAGAATTTATTAGAACCAGCTAATATTCACATAGGGTGCACCTCATTCACTGCAGAGGACACATATGTACATGTGTGGCTCAGTATCCAAGGGCTCAAGTCACTGCCTTAATTACAAGGTAGCTACACCAACTGGGTGCTTCTACACTAGTGTTTTCCCACCATGGAAAATGATGAATTGCAGTGATGACAAAAATGCTTGACAGAATAAGGTTTGGAAACACTGGTCTTTGGCAATGGCTACAATTTACTATAATTGTACCAAAAAAACTATCATTTGCCAGTGCTAATTTTTTTGCTTTTGTTCCAGTTTGAGAAAATAAACTAACCACCACCACAAAAACCACAAAGACAACAACAATGGCAACAACATCAACAAAGACAGCAACTATTCTGTTTCATTAAATTTATGCAACCCATCTTTCTAGGCTAAGGGTCCACCATCCCCTTATATGAACAAAAAGCTCATGCAAAAAATGTGTATCTGTCTCCACACAAACCAATTCTAATTCCTTTCTAAAATTATATTTCAAATCCTGCCTGGAATTCTGTTCAACTCCTTTTTATCTATCTAAATTGCACAGTACCTTTTAGATTTAGTTCAAAACTTCTCAGCGAAGCTTTCCTCATCTACTTCAGGTCAGAGTAATTTCTCTATCCAATAGTATTTATAGTTATTTATATTATCTATTAGGCAATTATCAATCCATGAATTACTGAGAATACAAAGATGAGTAAAGACACAGTCTTACAGACTATTGGAAGAATCTGACATTAATAAAAAATCACATATTGTAAAGTTGTAAAAATGTAATACTGCAACTGTGACAAGTGCTATGAAAGAGACAGCAGAGCTAGGAAAGCTGACAAACAGGAGGATTTGACCTCATTAGGTGGGTCCTGAAAGTTTCCCTTAAGCAACTGATACTTAAGCTAAGTAGAGAATATACAGATGAAAAGACAGGGGAAGAGCCTTCAGGCTGACGGAATACCATACACAAAACCCCTAAGGCAGGAGACAGCAAGGCCAGTTTTCAGAATCAGAAGGAAACAAGAAGCAACAGTGGAAGAAACTAGGAATATGGGGGGCTGGGGCAGGGAGGAGGCGGGCGGGGCGAATGCATTTTTGCCTTTACCCTAACAATAACAGAACCACGGAAAGGTTTTAAGCAGGGGGCAAAGAGTAACACCATCAGATGAGCTTTCAGACATTACTCAAGCTGTACTGTGAGAGAAAAAAGGGAGAGAGCCAGAGATGGGGACAGACTAGTCATGAGCCTGAAGTAGTCCAGGCAAGGGATGATGGTAACTTAGGCAGGAACATTAGAAACTAATAGGTATTTTTTATTGAACACTCAATAAAATAAACTTTATAAAAGGACAAAAGAGTAAAACTGTGGACAATAACAGATTAAAACTAAGCTAACAAATGAACATCTATATTTTCTCTCTAAACTATCGATTCGGGACCTCGAAGATGGTAAACTCCAAAATCGGATGAAAATTTAGAGTACATGGAGAGGAGTCCATAGCTTTAATCAGATTCTGATAGAAGCCTGGGATTCAGAATCCCTGCTCAAAAGATGTTCTTGATTCCATAAGTATAAGATCTAAAGTTATAAAAAAAAAAAAAATCACTGCATTATTTCATTTCTCTAAAAAACTACATGAACTAGTAATGGAGGTTCTATAATTCTCAATGGCAAATAGTGGAGATGGCCCATATAATTCATCACCAGAAACCTTTAACAGTTTTTGTGTGCCAATAACTATTCTAACATGTTTCCTTTCCCAGAGCCAAAATCATACCATTTAACAGATCTACTGGAGTCTTTTTTCTAGGTTTGAAAATTCACTCAGCCATGAGAATAACAGTGTGTCTTGTTTTTTCTAAAATTATATTTCAACGATGTTCAAAGAAAAGTCTTAGTTTTTCAACCTCCCCCTTTCTTTTATTCACTTCAGAGAATCTGCCATTAGCAATCTGACTGATTGGATTCATATTCAATTCTCTCCCCTCACCTCCCCTGCTCACTGTGGGCAGGGGATACTTCCTCTTCCTACTGGTCTTGCTTTGCTCAAATGAATGTGAGCATGAGTTGTGATTCTTGTACTATGGTGACCAGCCATAGGAGTATCCTAGCAACAAGTTACTAATACAACTAGGTATCCTCTTCACATCTTATCTCTTTATGCATTCGAGGGTTTTTTGACCAGTCACTTTCTACTCTACCTAATCCACCGACAGTTAATACTGCTCTGTTGTTATCTGCTATTATCTGGAACACTTACGTAAATCTTGCAATATTTAAACTATTCATAGGTTTATATTTTATTCTCACTTTACATAGATCTTAATTTCACTGAGTAGAGAGGCACTTTTTTATATGTCTGTACCCAAGTTACTTTGAATGATGCTTTAGACAGAGAAAATACTCAAACATTTGTTGATTTGGGTCTTTGAAATCACCATCAAATCATTACAGAGAGCACACGGCAAGTCTCTTATGATTCCTGACTGGCTTAAAGTGAAACTGGAATAGTTCCCAGGTCCATTTTGCCTCACTTGACACATGCTACCAGCCTCCACAGATTACTCTATTAGTTTTTATATAAAGATGTGATGATATTCAATTCTAAAAGAAAAGAAAACAAAGTAACTGATATTGTCTCTTTTTATAACTGATTCCCTAGCAAATATTACAATAAAAACTCTTACCTTTTGGTGGAAAATAGGACTTGCTTTCTGCTTTATGAGGCCAATCTACTACCAAAGGCCCAAATCTTCTGAAGCTGGCAGTAATTTCATCTTAAGAAAGTACAATAATATGCATTAGGAATTAGTTTTAATGATTCATTCTAAAACAATCCCATATTTTACAAGATTTAATATTTAAGAGTGCCAAATAATCTAAGATAAACTAGAATATGAACACTGGACACATGTCTAATATCTTTATTAAAAGAATATATAAAAATAAATAGCTATTTTAGTCAAAATAAATTCATTTTTAAGCAGCACATTGGCCAGAATAATTACTTCAGTGTGAGTTTTAAAATTTTATGAAACATTGTATGCATACTAATGGATTTATAGTATACCAAACCATAAATATCACTGGCTTGAAAAACATGCCAACATCATATCAAGTTAAATAAAGAGATTCATTACTGCTTGACAAGTAAAATCTTATAGGAAAAAAAAAAAAGGTCTGCTGAAACAAGATGTGAAAAGCTATAGTACTTTGAAAATATATTAGGGTCTGACAGTAGGTGGACACATGCCAGGTAGCTTCACTGAAGCACATATAGGTCAAATCCACCACTATGTTCTAGGTTATTTCATCACATAGAAACCTGATTAATACTTAGAATAAGTTTGTGGATATTTGAATCATAACTGAAAAAATTCCCAAAATATAGCAATATCTTATCTATTAGTTGTGAACGAGAGTGGCAGATTTCCCACATCCTCACAAACATTAGATGATTTCAGTATTTTTAATCTTTTTCTTTCGTTATTATTACACACAATCGTTTTGACATATGTTTACTAGCCTTTGTATAACCTGAATTTCCTGGTTATGTTCTGTTTCCATTACTCTTTTGGGTTTTATAGCCTCTTTCTTACCTGTTTCTAAGAGCACATTTATCTTTAAAGAAATTATACTTTTGACTGTTATGTATTGCAGGTAGTATTTCATGGTTGGTTACCTTTATTTTACTGTGTGTGCATGTGTTACAATCATTTAAGGCTTTAAGTTTTATACAGACATATAAAACAAAAAGTTTTATATATTTCAATATGTTCTATATTTAAAAATATAAGTGGGATATGACCCAGGGTATAAAAATCTTATTTACAAAACATGCTTACAGTAACAACATGCATTGTAACATACAAAGTAAAGAAACAAACATTAAACAAGTTATTTGTTTGATTACTTACATATTTCAACAGGTTACAAAATATTTAAACAGAGATGGATATCTGCTCTAACTGAAAATCTCCAAAGGCAAAAAAATTTCATACCATCTTTCACATTATATGTCACGTTTTGTTTTTTGGTTTTTTTCAAAGTCCAAATTGTCACCTTACCTTCATCAATATCTGGAGGAAGACCACCAACAAAAACTTTTCGAGAGAAGCGTTCTATTCGCTCTCCATTTTGATGAGCTGAGTAACATGTGGGTGAATTTAAAACACCAACTTGATCATTATGACCATCATCCAGCAAGCCATCATCTATTGGAAAGAGGGAAGAACGACCTAAAATATAAGAACAAATATAACTTAAATCTCAGATCTAAGAAAATAATTAATTAAAGTCAAGCATAAAAACAGCAATGACAAATTCAAAGCCTTAAAAAAATGAAGGTGACACAGGCATAAGAAAAGATCAAGGTAAATTCAGATAGTTTAAAGCTTTAATTACTTGGATTTGAGAGAGCAGCAGTCTGAAGAATGACTTAGAAATAAACCTAGTCATATGACAACAATTATACCACAAAAACTAGATTGCTTCAATTTTTTATGGAAAGCAGCAAGAATCTGATGTATGGGGATGGTTAGACTGAATGAGTAACAGGAGAAACCTTTTAGAAATTGGTGGCAGAAAGGAAATGGCACAGACTAAATAGATAAGAGGATATAATAAAAAACCACTTGCAGATTGCAGTCAGTAAGGACAAAGGTAACAAGTAATACTTGCATATAAGGTTTTGGATTAATTTATTACACATGTGCTGATTATATGAAAGGGTAGACAAGGCTTCTGCACATGTGCAAAGCAGAAAAAGGCATCCCCTCTAGGACTTTAGTCCTCATCTGAGCCACCCTTCAGGGGTGCACCCTTGTATAAGGCACATCCTGTACAATCTCTGCAGTACTCCTGATGCTAGACTCTGTGGGGATCAAAAATATAAAACAATCTAATAAAATATAGTGTTCTGCTCTCAAGAAACACACATTTAGAAAAGATAAAATCTATACACTTAACTGTGGCACACATCCATAAGGAAGCTTCAAAGTGCTGCAGAGGAAGTGTGCTGGAGGAAGGGAGTAGTCTGGCTAATAAATGCATAATTTCTTAAATTCCCAACTGAAACTGGATAGCATTTGTGGTAAAAAGAGAAAGGCAGTGGTACTTACAGAGGGTATTAGAAAGGGTAGGATATTTATAAGTAGAAATATTTGTAAAAACATGGTTTTGAGTAAATTTTTCAAATGGAAGGAGAAACAGAAGAGAAAGCAGGAAAAAATGAATTTATTTAAGAAATTTGTGACAACATGGATGGACATTGAGGGTATAATGCAAAGTGAAATAAGTCAGAGGGAGAAGGTCAAATACCGTATGATTTCCTTCATTAAG